CCACTACACTGCAGCCTGGGCGACAGAGCGAGACTCCGTCAAAAAAAAAAGAAAAAAAGAAAAAAAGCCATAAAGCTGCACATTTAAGATGAGTGCACTTGGCTGGTCCGAAGGGAGTAAGTTATCTCAGCCAATTGTTCACAGGCAGTTACAGATCCAACTCCTCATTCTACTCTTTCCCCTTTCTCACTACTGCACTTGACTAGTCTAAAAGCCAAAAAGGGCCAGTGCAGTGGCTCATGCCTGTAATGTCAGCACTTTGGGAGGCTGAGGTGGGTGGATCATTTGAGGTCAGGAGTTCGAGACCAGCCTGGCCAACACGGCAAAACCCCATCTCTACTAAAAATAAAAAGTAATTAGCCAGGCCTGGTGGCACGCGCCTGTAATCTCAGCTACTGGGGAGGCTGAGGGAGGAGAATTGCTTGAACCCGGTGGCAGAGGCTGACTGAGCCAAAATTGTGGCACTGCACTCCAGCCTGGGCGACAAAGCAAGACTCCACCTCAAAAAAAAAAAAATAATAAAAATAAAAAACAAGAACCAAAAAGATGAGTGCACCTTACTGTGTAGGTTATGCCTCCGTGAAAAAAATTCTAAACACACACACACACACACACACACACACAGATGATTCTGGGTGCTCCATTGACAGAGAGTTGAACATAAAATAACATTGGTTTAAAAAAAATCCAGCCTAAGAAGGGTCGCAGGATGAACTCAGAATGGTTAATGAACCATGAGCCAAGTGGGGAGTACTGGCCACCCACGGTGCCCCTTAACCCTCCCCCACCACCCCATCTCCTCTGTACAGTCACCCTCCAACACACCCTCCCCGTCCAGGTGCTAGGGCGGGAGGCAGGCGCCTCACATTCCCGCAGCTGTGCCTGTCTCAGGAAATGCGTGTGGTCTCCAGCTCTGGCCGCCAGGAGACAAAGCCACCCGCTTGGTTCCTTGGCCCCCGGCAGGAGGGGGAAGGGGAGAATTTCCTTAGGAGAGGTTCCAAGAAGAGGGATTACTGCTTCAAAGGGAGTGCACCATTTTAGGCGGCTGAGAGCTGCTGTGCCACCTTCCAGAAGGGGCCCGGCACCCCTTCTTGTGCCCAGCATGTGGGTCCCGGCTGGGTCTGCCTTAGGGCCCACTCTCCTCCTGTCCCCTGCTCCCTCTCTTGCAGCTGGTGACCCCTGGGGTCTCCTCTGAGTGGCCACTGCCCTCGGTCGCCCACCCGCCCTGCCACCGTCCTTGGTGTACCATGTCTTTGCTGTCCCCTTGGTGGGGATGGATAGCCCTTTCCTTTCCCCTCCCCCACTGCCCCACTGCCTCACACTAGTCATTTATTTCCTCACTGAGGTCCTTGTCCCTGAACGGCCATGGAGCTGGCTGACCCAGCGTGCTTCTCTGGGTCCCGCGTGTGTGGTGGGAATCCTCACATTGCCTTGTTGTGACCGTGGGCCATTGCATTACCTCCCTGTGCCTTGGTTTCCTTGCCTCTAAAGATTAACCTCATGGGGTTGTTTGTAAGGATGAACGCACAAATGCAAGCTGAGTCCTTAGAATTCTTGGCACATAGCGAGTACTCAATAAACCGCCTGGCTGCTGTGCACTGGGGACACAGTCCTTTGCTCTCCGGAAGTCTGACCGTGCCCTGTCCCTACCTCACAGGGCCATCCATCAATGCTGGTGAGCTGAGCTCAGCTGACAAGCCAGGCTTGCACAGAGCGCTGCCCCTCCTGCTGGTCCCAGATCCCTTCTGTACAGAGGAGGATTTCTTATCCCCAGGAGATGCCTGGCGTCGTTGGGGGCCTCCTCACCCGCCCGCGCATCAACCCTCTGACTCCCTCCACCTCACCACCTGGGGACAGGAAGAGAGCAGGACAGCAGCGGAAAGGGGTGCTGCTTGTGTGGCTCTTCTCAGAAGCGGGAGGCTCCCAGGCCAGGAATGTGAAACCATTTTGCAGATGAAGAAGATGAAGTCCGAGAGTTTCTGAAACAGACCCAGTGGGCTTGCTCTTCACTCTCGGCATCAGGAATCTGGAACCTGGGCCGGTGTCTGGAACTGCTGTGCTCAGGCAGCTTGCCTGGAAATCAGGTAGCATGGCGGGACCCCAAAATCCCACTGTGGCCGACCATGAATCTGCCGTGGTTGTGTACCTCTGTTTTGCTTCCCAGAAGCGAAACTTTGGTAACTGGAGGGGGATGGAGTGGGGCGGGTGGGGTACAGCAAGATCAGGAAACAGAACCGTCATCAAATGCCTGCAGAAGGTGAGAGAACCAGCAAGTGTGATTAAGCGCCTGTGTGCTTCGCAGCCATTACGGTGGCTAAATCTCACAACTACACAGTGAGGAAGGGTTTCTGTTTTCATTTTATAGATAAACAAACTGAGGCTCAGAGAAGTAAAGTCACTTGCCCAGGAGACTCACAGCTGGAAGGAGGCAGGGCTGGAATTCATCATTGTTTTGAATGTTCAAAAGATACTTTTTATTTGCCTGTTTTCAAAAAATATTTCTCCCTTACTTTAGTCAATTAGTAAAAGTTACAGGAGCCAACAAAAAAGGTGAAGGAGAGAGCTATCATTCAAGGCCTTTTCAAAAGAGTTATCAATCTGAAGAATGGTAAAAAGACAGATTATGGAATTCAAAATTTTTAAAACTCCTTGCATTAAAAATAAGTCAATATTTGTAATAAAATCTTGTTTCTGGCTGGGCGTGGTGGCTCATGCCTGTAATCCCAGCACTTTGGGAGGCCAAGGCGGGCAGATCACTTGAGGTCAGGAGTTTGAGACCAGCCTGGCCAACATGGAGAAACCCCGTTTCTATTAAAAATACAAAAATTAGGCCAGGCGCCGTGGCTCAAGCCTGTAATCCCAGCACTTTGGGAGGCCAAGGCGGGCGGATCATCAGGTCAGGAGATCTAGACCATCCTGGCTAACATGGTGAAACCCCGTCTCTACTAAAAAATACAAAAAACCAGCCAGGCGAGGTGGCGGGCACCTGTAGTCCTAGCTACTCGGGAGGCTGAGGCAGGAGAATGGCGTAAACCCGGGAGGCGAAGCTTGCAGTGAGCTGAGATTGTGTCACTGCATTCCAGCCTGGGCGACAGAGCGAGACTCTGTCTAAAAAAAAAAAAAAAAAATACAAAAATTAGCTTGAGCATGGTGGCACATGCCTATAATCCCAGCTACTCAAGAGGCTGAGGCAGGAGAATCACTTGAACCTGGGAGGCTGAGGTTTCAGTGAGCTGAGATTGTGTCACTGCATTCCAGCCTGGGTGACAGAGCAAGATTCCATCTAAAAAAATTTAAAAAAAATTGGCTGGGCGCGGTGGCTCACACCTGTAATCCCAGCACTGTGGGAGGCCGAGGCGGGTGGACCACGAGGTCAGGAGATCAAGACCATCCTGGCTAACACGGTGAAACCCTGTCTCTACTAAAAATGCAAAAAATTAGCCGGGCATGGTGGCGGACACCTGTAGTCCCAGCTACTCGGGAGGCTGAGGCAGGAGAATGGCGTGAACCCGGGAGGTGGAGCTTGCAGTGAGCCGAGATCGCACCACTGCACTCCAGCCTGGGCAACAGAGCAAGACTCTTGTCTCAAAAAATAAATAAGTAAATAAAATAAATGTAACAAATTTTTTTAAAAATTTTAAATCTTGTTTTAAGCAATTATTTAGTTTTGTATTAGTGTATTTTTTAATATTAAAGATGCGTCTCTAGAAAGATTATTATAATTTCTTTTTACTTATAGCCAACTGGATTATATATCTCCTTTAAAAATTCCTTTTACTAACTTTATTATGACTTACATAGACCATTCACAACGTAATTTTTTTTTTTTTTTTTTTTTGAGACAGGGTCTCACGCTGTCACTCAAGCTGGGGTACAGTGGCATGATCATAGCTCACTACAGCCTCAACCTCCCTGACTCAAGCAATCCTCCCACCTCAGCCTCCTGAGTAGCTGAGACTACAGGCATGCACCACCACACCTGGCTAATTTTTTATTTTATGTAGAGTCAGAGCTCACTATGTTTCCCAGCCTGGTCTCTGACTCCTGGACTCAAATGATCCTCCTGCCTCAGCCTCTCAAAGTGCTGGGATTACAGGTGTGAGCCACTGCGCCTGGCCCAGGGCTGGAATTCAGACCCAAGCCCTCATCTCACAGGCTGCAGAACTGAGCTCACATTCCATTGCAGGGGGAGAAAAGTGATGAATAAAGAGACAAGATTAATTTAGGCAGAATGATGTTTTGGAGGAAGTTAAAGGATGAGATAATAACAGGATGATAGCAAAGGGGTGGAATCTAGACCAGCCAGATGGTTGGGGGTGGGGGGGGCTCTCGATAGAAGCCATGTTTGAACTAAGATGCGGAGGAAGGGGAGGAAGAGCCAGGTGTGTGAATGTCAGATGAAACAGTGTCTTGAGTGCAGTGACAGCACGTGCAAAGGTCCCGGGGTGAACTGAGCCTGGCGTGTGGAGGAACAGAAAGGCCTGCATGGCCGGAGCTCTGTGAGTGACAAGAAGGGAGGAGCTGGGGCTGGAGAAGTAGGCAGGGGCCTGGCAGGTCACGTGGGGAGGAGTTTGGGTTTATTCCGAGGGTGGCAGGAAGCCACTAGGAAGGACTGAAGCAGGAGGTTAACGAGATTTTTGGGAGCCACAGCCTTACCTCTCCTCAGCCCTGGTTGCCTTGGAGGATGGTTATGGTAGTACCCTGAGGCCCTGAAGCCTGGAACTTTTCCAGACTTTGAGGTCCCCCATACCTGGGATCGGATTCTTGCTCTGCCTCTTAATGGCTTTGTGATCTTGGGCCTGTAGCTTCAGTTCTCTGAGCCTTAGTTTCCTCTGCTATAAAAATGGGGATGTCAGCCAGGGGTGGTAGCTCACCCCTGTCATTCCAGCACTTTGGGAGACTGAGGCTGGAGGAATGCTTGAGCCCCGGAGTTTGAGACCAGCCTGGGGAACATAGCCCTGACTCTACTATATATACACTTTTTTTTTTTTTTTAATTAGGCAGGAGTGGTGGGACATGCCTGTAGTCCCAGCTACTCTAGAGGCTGAGGTGGGAGGATCGCCTGAGCCTGGGAGGCCGAGGCTGCCGTGAGCTGTGGTGGTGCCATCCTCCCTTTGCAGAGCAGGCCTTGAATACCAAGCCCTTGGCACAGAGCCAGCAAGCATGAATGGTGCCCGGTATTCCTGCAGTTGTTGCTGTGAGTATCCCAGCAGCACCTTTTCAGACCCAAGGCCGGTCATGTTCTGGCTCCCTGGCAGTACCCACTGCACAGGGGAGGCTCTGAGGAATTGCAGGAGCCTGGGGATGGCCCAGCTCCCAGAGCACCCCATTCCTGTTTCCTTGCCAGGGCCAGCTCAGCAATATTTCCGTGGACATCAAGGGTTCTTTCCTGTGGGGGCAGTGCAAGGAGGGTCCAAAGAGCAAGCTCCTGTGCCTCCGGGGATGGGGGTGGGTCAGGGAGCCTCAGTTTACCCACTTGTGAAAGAGCCATAGTAACCTCAGATCTGTTCAGCACTGGTTCCCTGCTTTGAGGATTTCAAAGATCAGCAGACTTAAAAATATAAACATGGAGGCAGGGGTTCCCAAACCCCCGGCCACAGACCAGTACTCATCTGTGGCCTGTTAGGAACGGGGCTGCACAGCAGGAGGTGAGCAGGTAGGTGAGTGAAGCTTCATCTGTGTTACAGCCACTCCCCATGGCTCACATCACCGCCTGAGCTCCGCCTTCTGTCAGATTGGTGGCAGCATTAGAGTCTCATATGAATGCAAACCCCACTGTGAACTGCGCGTGCGAGGGATCTAGGTTGTGTGTGCTCCTTATGAGAATCTAATGCCTGCCGATCTGTCAGTGTCTCCCATAGCCCCCAGAAGGGACCGTCTAGTCGCAGGAAAACAAGCTCAGGGCTCCCGGTGATTCTACATGATGGTGAGTTGTATCATTATTTCATTATATATGACAATGTAATAACAGAAATAAAGTACACAGTAAGTGTAATGTGCTTGAATCATCCTGAAACCATCCCCTACCCACCAGTCCATGGAAAAATTGTCTTCTACAAAGCTGGTCCCTGGGCCAGGTGCAGTGGCTCACACCCGTAATCCCAGCTTTTTGGGAGGCCGAAGTGGGTGGATCACCTGAGGTCAGGAGTTTGAGACCATCTGGCCAACATGGTGAAACCCCGTCTCTACTAAAAATACAAAAATTAGCTGGGCATGGTGGCGGGCACCTGTAATCCCAGCTACTCCAGAGGCTGAGGCAGGAGAATCACTTGAACCTGGGAGGTGGAGGTTGCAGTGAGCCAAGATCGTGCCACTGCACTCCAGCCTGGATGACAGAGGGAGACTCCATCTAAAAAAAAAAAAAAAAAGGGTAAAAAGAAAAGAAACTGGTCCCTGTTGCCAAAAATGTTGGGGGCTGCCGTATGGAGGGATTGATAGAGTTAACTACCAATTTTAAAAATTTGCCAAACATAGAGTTGCAAAGGAACCAAATACTATCTATGGTTTTCATCCCTTCTTAGAAGGAAAGATAATTAGCTGGTGCACGTGTGTCAGCTGCTATTATCAGATGGAAGCTGGTCCCTGAAATGCCAAGTGCTGCTCTGGATGCTTAAGAACTCATTGAGAGATGCAGGCCTGGGGACAAGAAGTAGCCATGCAACTGTGAGGTGGCAGATCTGGGGTTCAAGTCCTCAGTGGCCGGCTCCCCCATCTGTAGTTTGCACCCCCAAGACCAGTGGTCCTCAAGCATCCATAGGCACCAGTGTCACCTGCAGCACCCACCTGGAGCTCCAGTAGCCAGGGTGGGCCTGAGAATGGGCATTCCTCACCTGTCCCCAGGGGGTGCCAGTGCTGCTGGCCCCAGGCCACCCTTCAAGAACGGCTCCTCATGGGGGCTGAGCAGGATGGGTCTGCTTGTAATCCCAGCACCTTGGGAGGCCAAGGCTGGAGGATACCTTGAGGCTAGGATTTCAAGACCACCTTGGATAACACAGCGAGCCCTCATCTCTAAAAAAACCATACACACATGCAAACATACATATGTGCACACACGTGTGCATACACACATGCACATACACATACATGCATACACACATACATGTGTACATGCATACACATGCATACACACACATGCACTTACATGCATATACACATACATATGTGCATGCATACACATACACACATGCATATACACATACACACACGTACATGCATGTGCACATACATGCGTACACACATGCATATGCACATACATGCATACACACATGCTTACGTGCATATACACGTGCATGTATATGCACATGCACACTTGCATATATACATACATGCACATATACATGCGTTCCACCACTCTCTGCTCTCCTGTGCCCCAGATGAGCTTCTGCTTTATGAAAAACCTACTCACTTGTTCTGGTTTCTCTTTTTCCTTTGAAGACATCAGGGATCAAACCCATTCTGGGACCTGTCACATGGGACCCTCAATTGGGGCCAGGATACCAGGTCTGGGGCTCCCCCACTTCCAGGGCTGTGTTCCCATCTGACAAGATGGTGACCTCCATTGTCTGTCTCCAGGAGGCCAAAGGTGTGAGGAGGGGAATCCAGAGAGATGCTTGGTGAGGAATTTTCCGGAAGATGGCCAGTTCCTCAGGCAGCATTAGCACTTACTGAGGGTCCAGGGTGTCCAGACACGATTTTCTTTTCTTTTTTCTGAGATGGAGTTTTGTTCTTGTTGCCCAGGCTGGAGTAAATGGTGTGACTTGGCTCACTGCAGCCTCCGCCTCCCGGATTCAAGCAATTCTCCTGCCTCAGCCTCTGGAGTAGCTGGAATTCCAGGCTCCCACCACCATGCCCGGATAATTTTTTGTATTTTTAGTAAAGATGGGGTTTCACCATGTTGGCCAGGCTGATCTTGAACCCCTGACCTCAGATGATCCACCTGCCTCAGCCTCCCGAAGTACTGGGATTACAGGCATGAGCCACCACGCCTGGCCCAGACACCATTTTCTGTATCGATCTATCAAATTTTTGTTGAGAGCTTCCTAGGTTCCAGGCAGCCATTGTTCTGACATTTTACATCAACTCATTTAATTTCCTTTATGAGGTAAGAACAGTCATCCCCATTTTACAGATGAAGAGACAGGCACAGAGAGGCTGAGTTACTTGCCTGAGGTCCCACAGCAAGTAAGAGGCAAGGCCAGGATTTTAAGGAGGCCAGGAGGCTCCCGGCTCTCTGTTGGCCCAGCCCTGGTCTTCTTAATGAGATCCCAGATCAAGGCTGGGATGAGGGAAGAGCTGTGCCTGGCACTGCTGCTGGCTTTCCAGGTTAAAACATTCCAGGGAACATTAAAAGTGTTCCCAAAGAGGTAAATCCACATTCTAAAGCCCCAGAACCTGTGACTGTGACCTTATTAAGAAGAAGGGTCTTTGCAGATGTCATTAAATTAAGGATCTGAGGATCTGGAAACGAGAACATGGGTGGGCCCCAAATCCAATGTGAGGTGTCCCTGGAAGAGAGAGGCAGAGAGAGATCTGGGACATAGACATAGAGGGGAGGAGGCCCTGTGCAGATGGAGGCAGAGGCTGGAATCACACAGTTCCAAGCCAAGGAATGTCTGGAGCCACCAGAAGCTGGAAGAAGCAGGGCCCTGCTGAAGCCTTGACTTCAGACTTCTGGCCTCCAGAACTGTAAGAGAATCAAGTTCTATTGTTTTAAGCCACTGAGTTCATGACTTGTTACTTGCGGCCTCGGGAAACTGACACCCTGGGTAAAACCCCTCCCCTCTCTGGGCTTCTGCGTCTTCACCTCTGTGCCCACCATGCGGCTCCTGGGTCCCCTGCTCACTAGTCCCTGACACCAGCTGGCCAGGGACCCCTCAGTAGCTGTGGGGAGTGCAGTGGGCCGGGGGCCTCCCAGAACTGCACTGGGCAGGCCCCGGAAAGTTTATGCCTGGAGCTGCCTCCCTTGACTGATGCACTGGGCTGGGATCAAGAGGCATGAGCTCTGCTGCAGACCCCAGTGACCTTGAACAAGACATCGTTGCCCTCTGGGCCTGTTTCTTCTGGGAGATGGGAGCCCTCTCACCTGCTAGGTTTGCTGGGAGGGTTCACAGGGTTCTTTAAACATGGCAGGGTCTCAGTCTGTCGTGGACTTCATTGTCATTGGTTTATTATCTATCTATCTATCTATCTATCTATCTATCTATCTATCTATCTAT